AACTTATAGTCAAACTATGAATACTAAATAGATCTTTTTAAGCCCTACAATTTTTGTATCAAACATTTTTTCATATCTTTCATATTTTTCGAAATATTTTAGCGCTCCCGGACTTTTTGAGGACCCTGTATATATTGGGTGAGTGCAAAAGTTCGTGCGGAGTTTGTGAGTAAAAGTCACACAGTGATTAGGCAAACAAAAATCTTTATTCAATCAATGATATATTCTCCATCGTTTTCTATAATCTTTTCCCAACGTTCTGGTAGCATACGGATGCCTCGATCATAAAAACTGCGCGGTTTAGATTCGAAGAACGAAGAGACGCCGTTTTTTAAGGCCTCCAAAGAGTCAAAGTTTTTTCCATTTAAATAATTTTGCAATGACCGGAACAAATGATAGTCAGATGGTGCGATATCAGGAGAATACGGTGGATCCGTTAAGACATCCCATTTCAGGCTCTTCAGTTTGCGCAGCGCCTTTTTCGAAACGTGTGGTCTGGCGTTGTCGTGATGAAAGACGACTCCCTTGCGATTTGACAAAATCGGACGTTTCTCTTTTATTTCTCGATTCAGATTGGTTAATTGGCGACAGTACTTGTCCGAATCAATCGTTTCGCCAGCGGGGAGAAGCTCGAAATAGATTATGCCCTTGCAATCCCACCAAACAGAGAGCATCACCTTCATCGGGTGCAAACTGGCCTTTGGCATTGCGTCACCATGCTCACCTGATTGTTTCCATATCCGTTTGCGCTGAACATTGTTGTAGAGGACCCATTTCTCATCGCCCGTCACTAGTCGATCCAAAAACGACTCGTTATTGAGCCGCCCGAGTAAAGAAACGGCTGCAGAAATTCGCTTGATTTTGTTCTTCTCGGTCAGCAAATGGGGCACCCATATATCGAGCTTCAAATCGAATCCCATCTTTTTTAAACTTTTCATGAGTTCCGTCCAGTGAACTATATACTATACTGGAACGAGAACGGCCCTCTTGAGAAAACCGGCCACTAAAAAAAGGAGATAGGTTGATTTGGTACCATCTCTATCTCTGTCTAGCGAATTTTGATTGGTCTGTGATTTTCTATGTTCTTTTCTACAAACATCAGTTCTACTAACCTTTTGACTCAACAGACTAGTCAATAGCTGTCAAGTGCCACAACTTCTTATTAATTATAATATAATCAGAATTATTTTATTATCAAATGTGATATATAAAAATGTTGTTTTAGGTAGTCGCACAAAAAGTGTTTTCGTGTTTTCATTCTCGTTAATGAAAAATAGTATAAGATATGTATATTGATGCTGCATTTTAATAAATAAAATTAATTACTTAGGCAATGTTTTGTTCATTTATTGCCCTATATATATATGTGTATTATTTCATATGTATAAAAAATAATAGAAAATAGACATTGTATAGAGTGTGTTAAGTATTTATGCTAAGTATAGCATGGCTTGATGTAGATAAAATGCTTTAGCAATCAACAAAATAAAATCGTATTGTACTTAAAACTTTTATTTGGAAAATGCTACAAATTAAAATAAAAAAAACACAGTAACTGTACATATATCTCATTAATTTTCTTTAAGGACAACAATAACAAGTGTCTCAGTATTAGATGAACAGAAATATAGTAATATATTTTTTATTTTCAGTATATGCTAGCAAAATTATAAACAGTTTATTCAAATTAAAATTACAGCCTAACAATTGTGTTCAAGAGCTCTATGACGTTCAGTCTGAAAATTCGACCGAATCCTTACTCCTTGGCCAGGTATTCTCGGATGTCGGTTACTGTAGCAGTTTATTGAAATCGTGTCACAGCAATCAATTCCAACCAAATATAAACAGACGAACAATAGCTGTCGATCCAGCTCGGTGTATCTGTATATGTAGAATTATGTTTATCTAGGTCTCGTTACGACACATTTGCCTGTTTCTCGAAGGTTCGACCGCTGAGATCACGCCGTGAATATAATGGCTAATCGCGCGAGGATTCGGCCTGTGTGCTTCTAACCGGTAATCGAGCCCATCTTGTGCGTTTATCTCAACGCCTGACTCTGCTGGTCAGGTTCTCGTGCGCCGATCGCAACATAGCGAAGTTGTCGCGCCGTTCATGAATTCTGTTCCGGAATTCATCCGTTTATTATTATCGTTTTTTTTTTGTTTTTTGTTGTAATGCCCGCGGTCACCCGGGTCGAGCGTGCTTAAAGTTTTGTTGAGAATTAAATAGTTGAAACGGATTTTGACCAAACCGTCTTTTTTGGTGGATCTCGGAACTGTCTCCCTGCCTTGGCGTCCTATCCCCATCGGTCCATCGACCTCGTTGCTCAGCGCTGAGTAATACCGGAATCTCTGCATAGCGGTCAATTTCTGAGCGGAGAACGCGACCGCGTGAACAAATTGTAACGTTTTTAAATTGCTTTTTGCACCATCACACGTAATTGAACGAACAGTGATGCCTATCTCTGCTAGTTTAACTATTGCTTGCTGCATAATTTCACTTTGTACAACTGAGGGCATTTTATTTGTAAAAAAAATTGCAATTGGACACTTAAATTTCACCGTAAAAGAAATAATTAATAATACCAACACTTCGGTAGCTATTTCTTCCGAATCTTCTGTAGGAATACCTCCATAATCTACATATCCACGCATCTTATCTATTGTTTTATCATATATTATTCTTTTTCTAATACTCATAGAATCAAATATTAATGAAACATCTGTTAAATAATTTTTTGTATACGCTTCATTTTTCAAATATATAAACACTTCAGTAAGAAAACCAGGTTGGATGTTTGTATTACTTAGCCATTTGCGAAATACACTATTATGCGGTAAATATAATTGCTTGCGTACAAATTCATATGCACATGGAGAATAAAAAAATAATGTAAATGCAAATTGTTTTATTGAGGTAGAGTATCTTCTATTACGTGGTGGTACTGCGCTGTTTTTTACCTCATTTTGCATAACTTTAAGTGAAAAACCATTAAAATTATTTTGTAGGACTTCTATCACACCTTCAGTATCATGTTTATTGTCTTTTAGATATTTAATGAGGTGTTTCATAGATGTTATGCGTTCTTCTCGACGACATAAACGTTTCTTTAACTTTCGATTTTCTCGTTCTAATTCTAATTCCCTGTCGGATCGTCTTAAACGTTTTGGAGAAATCTGAACTTCAGCATCCACACTGCTTCTTAATTGCAACTGTACTTCACTGTCAATCATTTCCTTAAAAAATACCAAATCTTGTATATATATACATATATACACGATATAAATAATGATTAAATACATTGCTACTTACAATTTTCTGTTCAGAACATGTACTAAAATTTATGTTTGAATTATATGTAACATTCAAATCTTTCAATATTCTATTTTTATGTTCTTCACGATCCTATAATAATTTATAAATTAGAAGAATATTTGTATTTTTTATTTTATACTTATATATTTTGTTAAAAACTATGTAATTACCTTTTTGTGATTAAAATGTTATAATTCTTAAAAATAGTAGGAACAGCAGTTCTTTTTAACATTCTTTTCATTAATTCCATTGATGCTGGTTGAAAATTGTCATCATCAGTAAAATGTGCACCACAAATAAATACTTCTTTTGATATATCTATTTGTGGTAAATATGAAGAAATTGCAGTAAGCCATTTTGTGCGTGCTTTCTCGTTACTTGGCAATCTATAATTTAAAATTATTATTTCGTGTTTATATATATCTTATGCATATATATGTATATAAACATAGTGAAAGAATTTGGATAATTGCTCAGACATATAAATAGTTAGATGCAAAAGTGAACACAAATACTTATTAAAAGCTAATATTTGAAAAACATTGATGATAATTAACACAATCTTGAATAATACATTTTGCCCATTTTTATTGCCTGCTTTTCCTATTTCCAATTTTGCCACATTTAATAACCTATAATTATATGTACTATAAAACAATAATCAATAATCATAAAACCTATGATTTATATAATTTTATATTAAGTAAAACTCATTTGCGATTTATATATTATAATATAAATAAATATATATATATTACTATTCCATATTATTAAAATTTATAAAGCTTAACACACACGCGTATATATTATCCGATATTTACTCACATTTGTGTACTGAATACAGCGAATGTTTTCAGCTCGAAAAGTACAGTGATAGAAAAAGACGGACCGGTTACAATTTTCTATTTCTCTCGTTCCGTTTTCTTCTAGAGGGCCGTTCTCGTTCCAGTATAGTATATATTTCACTGGTTCCGCCATGTTTCTACTGCGACTGCCTCAAGGTCATTCTACAATACGTGTCGTAAGTTGTAAGCCGTAAGAACTGACAATTATAGTCGATTATTTTTGTAATAATCGACTGTGATTCGCCAATTCTTACGGCTTACAACTTACGACACGTATTGTAGAATGACCCGCAGTAACGAAAGTAGGAAGTGACGACAAAATCTATGACGTCATACGAACACGAAAGTGCTTTGAAAGCTTACTGCCGCCTATATCGGAACGGACTTGCAGTACTGTTAGTAAATAACGAAACGCAGCCTTAGCCTGCGTTCCGATATTCACTGTCAGCATTAAAAATTTATAGTATACGTATACTATAGATTTTTAGTGCTGACAGTGAATATCGGAACGCAGCCTTAATCGGTGCAAAGTTTTATCTAGTGAATTACTAGATCCAACCAATCATTTACTTTGTGTCCAATCGTGCTGTGTCGAATTTATACACATCTCTAGCTGCGTTCCGATATTCACTGCCAGTATTGAAAATATATACTTTATGTCACATATATTATAGATTTTCACTACCGGCAGTGAATATTGGAATGCAGCTCTGTCATACGAAGTATTGTAAACTAAGCTTTAAATTGAATTCTCTGTGCATTTGAATTTATTCTATTGGAGAATGACATATGGATACGCCTTTCTACCTAAAGCCATATACCAAACGAACGAATGAATTTATTCTATCTATAGTGTGCTTTGTTGTTTACTAGGGAAGTATGCATCGTGTTAAAAGTTTATTTGAATAGGTAAAATTTACTTATAAACATTCGATAATGACTGATATTGAAATGTTGCAATTAGATATATGGAAAGGCGATTGGGGTCTTCCATCTGTTAATATAGAATGTTTACAAGTTTTGGTACGTATATCATGCGTAGGTTATGACATAATTAGGTGTCAAATTTGATGTTGATATCTTCACCAAATATTAATATTTTTTTCGAAACTGATATATATATATATATATATACTGTAAGTTGATTAATATTACTTAAAATCACAAAATGTTTTTTATGAATTCTTTGGTGAATTTGAAATTATTTTCTCAATAAATGTATTAATGTAGTTTTCAAATATTTACTGATTATAAAATGATTTTTTTCTGACTACCCAAATTTATGAAAAGTAAATATATGAGAAAATCATATATAGAATGGTTAATTTAACTTTATTAGATGATATAATTGCTTATAAGAATGAAGTAAATATTTAGATATGATTGTGTCTGTATGTAATATGATTAAAAGAATACATAATCATAATGTATCACATAATATGTTAATATATATATATATATATATGTATATGAAAGAATATAATAGTTTCTTTTGAATTAAATAATTTCTACTTCATATCCGCAGGAGAAAAAGATTATTCATGAATTTTATTCATGCATGGTTATATATAATCATGCGTAAACATATATGTCCACAATGGTACTGTTATACATATAAATGGTTATGTTTCTAATAGCATATAATGTCAACATTTATTTGAACAAAACTATTTCCTCCTTTTTTCATTTAATATCATATATTATTAATATCATTCTTTTTTTATGTGGACATATATGATTATATATTTGACCATATATAGATGATGATATATAGACAAATAAATATGTAGACAATATACATGGTGTATAAAAAGTATGGGACGGTGAAATATCAAAAACTAAGCATTTTAGAAAAAAATGTTTCAACTAAAAATTGTAGGGTTTCAAAAGATCTATTTACTGACATTATAGTTAACGAAATATCATAAGTTAAGTATTGAAAAAGTCATTAAGTTTTCCTTAAATATCTCAAAACATATTAGATAAATAAAAAAATATTTCAGATAAAAGTTGTTGAAATTAATTGGTAGAAAAAGATGATATAATAAAAAATGGGGATTTCTGTTTAAAAACAATAATTTGACCTTGATTTGACTTTGGCAATGCCACTCAAGGTCAAATTGATGAGATCAAGTGAATATATCGTTTTGAGCCTTATAACTTTTGTTAAAAATACTTTTCTGTAAAACTTAAATCTTGAGATCTTCAAGAGTTTCCATCTTTTTTCCTCACCCTGTATACACATATGTCCACACATATAGAGTAAAGCATTTATAGTGTTAATGACAAATACCTCATAAACCTCATAAAATATGTATCTTATAAAAAAATATTTCAAATAAAATTTATTTGATATCAAAGGGGACACAAGATAACACTCTCAGTTTTGTTATAGATAATTCTATTGTAAATCAAACAAAGGATAACTTTATTTTTTTTTATGTAAATTCTTATTTTGTATTGTTTTATGTGAAAGTAGAACTAAGAACAAATACTTTTTATTCATTTTTTATAAAATATAAATTTTTCTAGATAATTGATTTTATAGACGGTTAATTTATTTCATGACATTTTTATAGATATCTATGAAATTACTAATTATTGAAAAGATTCTGGGATGAAAATGATAATTTTGTTAAATAATTTATTCTCTGATTCAATTATGGTATAGTTAGCAACAAAGTTAAAAACCTATGAAACCGTACAATAATACGCGAACAATCTTGTGTAATTTGTCTTGAACATATGTGAGAATTGTGAACTATTACAACTAGAACACTAATTTTAGCATCTTCATTTGTCAAAATTTTTCTGTTTTTTTCATTTCGGTTAGACACTTGCCGTTTCAGAAACATTTTAATAATTCGATAAAATATCATAAGATTTGAATAATTCCTGTCAGGAAATCGATTAGCATACAAATTACATGCATTTCGAATATTTTTCAGAGCTTTCCCATAAATAACAATTGTATTTTTTTCTTTTTTCTTCTCTTTTTCTTCTTTCGTAAAACGAACTATTTTTATCATGAATTTAAACATATATCAGGGAGTAACTAAATATTATCATATAATATACTTTACAGTGATAGCACTGCTGTAGTATATTGATCCTTTGGTTTTCAGATTTCAATGATTTTTCACTGTGTAACCACAATGCTTATAAATACAACTTCTAATTGACATTACTTAAATAATATCTACTATTATTATCTATGTGAAATAAAGTTCACCCCATATTGCTCGGTGTTTATAGTACAAAACAAGGTCGCATATTCAGAAGAGTATCTAAAGGCACTATCAAATATATATAAAATGAAAGTTTAAAACAGTAAATTTGTATCCGTACCCAATGTTAATATGACATTAAAATTACAAAGATTTATTTCTGCAAAAATACTGTTTAGTACATAGAAAACCCAAAGGTTTCAGTCCTGTATTTGGCTCTCATAAGTGGTTAAATTTTTTTTGTTTTTTTTACATAAACGTATTCCCTCGACAATCCTCTAATATCAATGGTCCTATATTCTCAATCTTCGGTAAAGCACTCCAATTATACTTCAATACATGAAATCATCGTGGTTGTAATGAATTTAGGAAGAATTTCCAAGGTATTACTCTTCCGAATGTATGCTATACATTCCTGATGCTTGGAAGGACATCAGGAAATGCCGCGAAATCACACATACTCTTCATATACAAAATTATGAAGAATGATCTGGTACATTTGCGACGTGATAACTGAGAGAGAAAACAATGGATCATTCAAAATTGAACGCGACGATAATATAGTTTTTATATATGGCGTATAGTCGATATAATTCAAATAGAAATTGCTAATATTTATAAGAATAACATGTAGGAAATACAAATATCTTTAAACTTATATGATCACAAGTTTACATTTGAAAGACGTGTGTGAAGCTAGCATCTCAAATGTTAGCATCTCATAAAAAACTGTATATTCATTGGCATCCAGCATAGTTCCACAGTTCCTGATAGGTTTTAACAATAGTTCCGATGAATTTACCATAAAAATCTTAATTTAAAAAAATGAGATGCTAACTTCCAAAACACCTGATAGTATCTCATCGTATTTCGAATATATGATCAAGGAGAAGTAAGATTCCACAGAGTTCTATAGTCTAAACACATTCTGTCAATAGTTCTGATGTCCTAAACTCCGTATAAAATAATTTATAGCTGTAAAATCCATCTGATCCTGCGTGTGTGAACCTGGCGTATTATTTCGTGAAAACTCATTAGCTGTTGAGAGTTCTGACTATATTTTCCATAGTTCTATAGTTTCCCACGAATTAAACAAAAAGTTTCAGCCGTTAAAGCAAAAAAATTGATCCGGACAAACTGAAACGCTAAGTTCACGCGATGTCTCACTTTGACCTATAGGAGTTCCCTCATTATATTTTTTCAGATTTTTATCAATAGTTCTAGATGAGTTCCACAAAGAGTTTGGCAATTGAAAACTAAAAACATCGATTACAATAACATAAAAAGTAACATAGTGTAACAAGTATATTGAGCTGCGACGCTCCAAGATAATTTCCATACAATTCTAAATATATTTATACAATTTCTGTAAAGATCTAAACATAACGAACGTTGTACCATTAAAAAAAAAATTTATATGGCTCGGAAAATGCTTTTTAGCACGGACTAGGGTGAGACGCAGGTCGATATTTGAGAGTTCTAATCATTGAAAAATATTTTTCGTGCATTTGCGACAGTATTGAACAATTTCCTCAAGAGTTCTAGGCACTACCGACGTTGTACCATTTTTTAAAAAATTTGTATGACACGGAAAGTGCCTTTTAGCACGGACCAGAGTGAGATGCTGGTACGTCTGTGAAGTTAGCCCGCCATCTTTCATTTCCGCTCGAATCGATTCAAGTCATAAGGAAAACCGATAGAACTCTTCGGGATGCTACCAGAACTCTGAAGAAACTGACCGATTTTCGAAAAAAATTTTTCTCTTAGAAAATTCAGCATCGACGATACTTTGATGAGCTAGAACTCTTTAATTTCCACTCGAATCGATTCAAGTCATAAGGAAATCCGATAGAACTCTTCGGGATGCTACCGGAACTCCGAAGAAATTGAACGATTTTCGAAAAATAATTGGATTTAGTCTTTTTCGTATTTATAGTGATTTTTCTTAGTAGTCTCCTAATCTGGAAATAATTGGATTTAGAAAATTTTTTTTCGAAGATCGGTCAGTTTTTTTTGTTTTTTTGTGTTTTTTAGTTTAATTTTTTAATATTTTTATAGTTTTTGTTTTTATATTTTTTTTATATTTCTTAGTTTTATATTTATTTTGTTTTTTTTATTTTTTTATCTTTTTCATATTTATAGTGGTTTTTCTTATTCTCCTAACCTAATTATGAAAATCATTTGGAAATGTGAGGATTATCTGCATAATTAATAAAAAATGAAAACAGTTATTCTACTTAATTGCAATTTACTTAATGTTTAATCTCTCTAACTATATGTTTAATATTAATATATTATTATTTAATTTTAATATATGTTTATTTTTTGTAATCGATATAACTTTATAATTTTATATCTTGATACAACTATAATAATTTTTATAATAATCTTTATAATAATCTTAATATATCTTTTTTATTTAAATCTGTTATTCCTATTTATTTTATCAGTTATTCCTGCATATTTGTTAATGTTTTTCGCCTGAAAATGCATACAAAATCAAATGAGGTTGGATTGCTTTGTTTGGATTAACGCTTTCACGAGATGGTCCCACATCGTTGTATTCATGCCAATATATCCCAGATTTCGTGTATCCGATATAATGCCCTGCCGACCAACTTACAACACCGATTAATGAATATATTTTGTTCTTTATTTCGACAATTTTTGTAATTGATTCAAGTGTGTAGCAAAGATCTTTATTCCTGGATGTGTATCTTTCATCCGTTACAACACTGGTATCGATGATGAACATGCGGCCCATATTCTATTTCGTCCTCGATAAGTGTGTTGCAC